CAAAACCCGGTTTAATTCATTGCTATTTTCTTTTAAGTTACCCCAAATCTAACTCTCACGCTTTTCTGAGGTTTTCAAGATGGTTATGACAAGTTTTAAAATTGTGAATTTAAACAAAAACGTAAATTTTAATTAATACCTTTGTAACCTGTGAAAGGGTTTCCCTAGTTTTCCAACCCCACTCAGGGCCCTTGGACCCGGCTGCCTTTTGGTTGCCCATAAACCCCCGTTATGCGGCGGTCAGTGGCCCTATACATTATGCCTGGTTGATTTTGGCACTTGGCCAAAGGGACTGTCCAGTTTTCTCTGAAGACTTCTACCTTGACTCGCAGGAAAAATTGGGGGGCCCCGGATGTTTATATAATGTTACCTTATTTGACCCGGGTGCCTGCTTTTTTTTTTGTTTTTTCCAGTATTCCTCTGGCAAGTGCAGATTTGGACCAACCCCAAGCACTTTTAAAATATATTATTGTATCCTCTCTCTCTCTCTTCTCTCTCTCTTCTCTTCTCTCTCTCTCTCTCTCTTCTCTCCTCTCTCTCTCTCTCTCTCTCCCTCTCTCTTCCCCCCTCTTCCTCCTCTGCTGCGCGAAAATTTTTAGTACTTTAGGGTTTTTCCTAGTAAATTAAATGGTTTTTTTGAGTTTATTGGGTTTTAATGATTTTTGTACCCGCCACCTGAGACTCTAATATTTACAGGAGCCGTCACACTGCAATACCCTAAACGAGAAAGTACGGGGGGTTGAAAAGTTTCCCCTGGCACTTTTCCTTTTCTTGAAGGTTCTCAATAGTCCCCAATTTTTTGCCTTATTTTGTTAAAGGGGGCACTACATTATAACACCCAGACCTTTTATGTTTCTTTCAAATTTGGGTCATATGGATTTTTTTTAGGGTTTATTAGTTCTCATTTTAAAAAAACCCGTTTTGGAACTTTTCCCAATGAACGTTATGTGTTTGTCAACTGCCCACTGGAAAACTTTCTTAATATCTTCTTGCAATTTTCCGTGACTTCTACCAAGGAGATTGTCATGGTTATTTTGGTATCATGTGCAAATGAAGGTATGAAGCTCTGGTGAGTGTTTTTATCTACTCTCAATATGGGTGAGACAAGGTTTGTCGTAGTTCCATCGCTGGCGCACTCAGCTCGCACACTCAGGACTGGAGATCGAATCTCCGGTACGGCTGGAAAACATTAGGGACGTGTTTCCATAAGACACCTGCTGTCCATGTTCACCCATCAGCATAAAATGGGTACCTGGGTGTTAGTGGACTGGTGTGGGTCGCATCCTGGGACAAAACTGACCTAATTTGCAGGATATGCTCAGAATAACAAGCGGTTTTCTATATAGTAGTGTGTCAACTAGACCTTGTACATATACTTATAGAAATAAAGATATATATATATATATATATATATATATATATATATATATATATATATATATATATATATATATATATATATATATATATATATAATCTTATTTTATGATGCATATACAACAAAACAATAAACAAGTATATATTATTAAGCACGGGCACCAGGAATTATTTTTCCGATATATAGGAAAAATGTTATAAAGTATGACAGTTTGGGTTTACCAAGTGTTTAATATATCATCAAGGATCAACACAACACTGGGATGTCCACATTACTCGCATTTAAATGTACCTGTTGACACACTCAAAATAATAATGTAACAAAACAGTTTTGATGCATTTGGAATTTGGCAGCGTTTCTTCTGGTGGTGTCTTCCTTATCTGCCGTCACACCAGAAACAAAATTACACATCGGTCTAATTAATATGTTTCCAGTAAGTCGTAGTAATATTGCACCAGCAGAAAATATATATATATTATATATTTATTAATTACTTATTGCATATAAAATATATATATTATATATATATATATATATATATATATATATATATATATATATATAAATATATTATATATATATATATATATATATATATATATATTCCTTTTTGGATTGTAAAAAGTATTTCTAGCAACTTTAAATGATTTATCAATTACATTTCTCGGGTATTTCAGATCAATGGCTATTTCATAAATTTTGGATATTTCTTCATCTATGAACTCTGGACTACAAATTCGTAAAGCTCTCAAAAACATTGATGAGAAAACAGACAGTTTAAGTCTATCTTGATGTGAAGAATGATAGTGGACATAGGAACAGTTATTTGTAGGTTTTCTGTAAATTTTAAATTTGAATTCATTATTACCCTTAATAATTAAAACATCTAGAAAAGGCAATGAGTTATTTTCCTCAAACTCAACAGTAAAGTTTATAGAATGGGCTAAGCTATTTAATTTTCCAAGGAAATGGTGTATATCTACATTCTTGGGCATAAGACACAAAATATCATCAACATATCTGAACCATATAGCTATATTAGGGAGGATTGTGTTAAGCAACCTTGTTTCAAAAAATTCCTTGTATAGGTTACTAAGAACAGGTGAAAGAGGATTTCCCATTGCCATACCAAACTTCTGAGTATAACACTTATCACTAAATACAAATTTTGCATCAACAATGCAAAGTTTAATAAGTTTAATGACTGGAATACCTGGTTTGTGTATTTTTATTAGTACATACATGTAGGGTAAAGATGGAGTAGTGGAAGGAAATTTTTAATTAATGTTTTATTGTTTTATTGATGTTTTATTGTTTTATTGAAATTGCTGTTAACGGTTTCTAAGGGTTTCTTTCTAGGTTTAGAATAGGTTTTGAAACCGTTAACAGCAGTTGTCGACATTTTGAGCCCTACTGTTGGATTCGATCCTACGTCACCATGCCCAGCCCTATGATAACAGGGCTGGGCAATACCCTGCATAGTACTATACTACTCCCCTCCCTGCTATTGGCCCGTGTCACTGCATGGCCTCATAACCATCACCTCACGTGACCCGTGTCACTGCACGACCTCACAACCACCATCTCACGTGACCCGTGTCACTGCACGACTTCACAACCACCACCTCACGTGACCCGTGTCACTGCACGACCTCACAACCACCACCTCACGTGACCCGTGTCACTGCACGACTTCACAACCACCACCTCACGTGACCCGTGTCACTGCACGACTTCACAACCACCACCCACGTGGACCGTTGTCACTGCACACTTCACAATCACCACTCACGTGACCCGTGTCACTGCATCGACTTCACAAACCACCGCCTCACGTGACCGTGTCACTGCACGACTTCACAACCACCGCTCACGTGACCCGTGTCAACTGCACGACTTCACAACCACAACACTCACGTGACCGTGTCACTGCACGACCTCCAAACCACCACCTCATGTGACCCGTGTCACTGCACGACTTCACAATCACCGCCTCACGTGACCCGTGTCACTGCACGACCTCACATGACTGTGTCATTGCATGATCAGTAAACAAACAACGACCTTCCCGGAGCCGGACAGTGTAAACAGCAGAGCTGCCGAGCATGTTAGTCTGTATGAGGACATGAATGACTCTCTGTCTGTCTCTGTCTGTCTGTCTGTCTGTCTGTCTCTCTGTCTGTCTGTCTGTCTCTCTCTCTCTCTTCTCTCTCTCTCTCTTCTTCTCTCCTCTCTCTCTCTCTCTCTCTCTCTCTCTCTCTCTCTCTCTCTCTCTCTCTCTATGCCTACCTTTGTATTCTGCTTCAAATTTATTTTAAAACGAGACCGGCTTAATCAGTTATTGTTGCAAAAAAAAAAAAAAAGTCTGTAAGCGATTTATTTTTTTACATGTGACATGTGGTATACGTACGCTGCACTCTGAGCAACAAGGGTTTTCCCGTAATTCGCTTACAAATTCTACCATCGACAGTGAGGTACGTTACAGCTCTATGATTTGTACCTGTCGATGTGAGATTTGAGATTGAAACAATAGGTCAAAGATGAGGAAGTCCCTCACCTCTTGATTTCCTGTCCTCATTCTCAACGTTGTCTCCCTCTCTTCCTGTGTTTTTTTTTTTTTTTTTCTTTTCTACTAGCTACTCGATTTTGTTTTACGAGACCGAAAGATCTAGCATTTTGCTCTTTATTTAGCGGGAGAGTTGTGGCTTCCTCTAGTTACGATGTGATTTTTATTCATCTTCTCTCAGTGTGACTCTTCAATTAGCGGGAGAGTCGTGACTTCCTCTAGTTACGATGTGATTTTTATTCATCTTCTCTCAGTGTGACTCTTCAATTAGCGGGAGAGTCGTGACTTCCTCTAGTTACGATGTGATTTTTATTCATCTTCTCTCAGTGTGATTACTTTGAATACATGATGTATATTTACACAGATTACTATATTAATTTGTTTTAAAGTGTTCCAACTCTCAGGGGCTTAATTTATAAATCTTTGCTTTAATATAAGTAAGCTTTAAAAACTACCACCAGTGTTGGTATTATTATGAATGTAGTTATACACTTGTTATGATACCACCACCAGTGTTGGTATTATTATGAATGTAGTTATACACTTGCTATGATACCACCACCAGTGTTGGTATTATTATGAATACAGTTATACTTGCTAAGAAACACAGTGAGAATATTACTTACCTGGGTTAGAAAATTCTTTTGTATTGCTTAAATTTAAGCAAGATTATGTTAAGCTGCTAGGAGAATGGCGGCGCAAAATAAAAATATGAGATATAGAAAAAGGTCATAGTTTACCTTGGAATAAAGAAGGTAGAAGAGGTTATAATTAAGGTTAGAGACCAAAGTATCTCGTGGTTTACCTCGCAAAGATTAAAGAATCCGCTGGTTCCTCCTGCTGGGTGTTATTACCTTGCTTAAAACAGCCACTACTACCTGGTAGTGTCCTTGATGAAGGGAATATAGGGAGTGAAACTCCAGGTAAATTATATACTTTTTATCATAACTTGTTCTCCTTTAAGTTTAACTAATTAGTGTCTGTATGTGAATTTATCGATGTTAAATTGTTTCCGGGATAATGAGTAATTCTTGCGTTTTTTTTTTCCTGGTACAGGGGAGCGTTCTCTCAGGTCCGCCTGGCGGAGGTGCGGGATGATCCCTCACGTGTGGTGGCCATCAAGATCATCGACAAGAAAGCACTCAAGGGCAAAGAAGACTCGCTAGAGAACGAAATCAAAGTACTCAGGAGGTCAGTGTTTCGAATTCTGTCAGTGTTCAGTCCTCTGTCATACTGTTTTCACTGTTTGTGATCATCGGTGTATACATATGGCACACACCAACTCACATAAAGAAAATTAAATATATTTCAAGAGCATATCTCTTTCTGTTTCATTTTCTCCATGTGGGTTGATCTGTACTGTTAACCAGTCTTAAGAATACCCAACTCAGGTTGGGCTCCCAGGGTATAACGCCACTTCAAACAAGTCATGTGTGTGTGTATAATATATATATATATATATATATATATATATATATTTATATATATATATATATATATATATATATATATATACATATACATTATATATGTATATATATATATATATATATATTATATATATATATATATATATATATATATACATGTATATATATGTAATATTATATATATATATATATATATATATATATATATATATATATATATATATATATATATATATATATATATATACATATACATATATTATGTAATATATATATATATATATGTATATATATATATATATATATATATATATATATATATATATATATATATATATATATATATATATCATGTATATATATGTTATTATATATTATTATATATATATATTTATATATATAATATATATATATATATATAAATAAATTATAATATGTATATATATATATATATATTATATTATATTTATATATATATATATTATATATATATATATATATATATATATATATATATATATATATATCGTGCCGAATAGGTTATAAAACTTGTGATTTTAGACTTAAATAATAAACGCTCTTCTTGCCGAATTAAGGCAAGTGAAAATTTGTGTATGCAATAATTTCTCAAAAATCATTCTGAACCTAACGAAAAAAATATATTTAATTGAGTTTGTTTATTATTAAATTATTGTAAACATATCTAAAATAAATTCCGCTTGTTATAATAAGGTTAGGTAAGTTTTCTAAGGTTCTTTTGTTACAAAATTATTAATTTTTACATTAACATGAAAAAAAAAATTGATCTTTAAACGTATAAGAGAAAACTTCTTGCTATTTTACCAATTTTACCTATTCTGCAAGACATATGTCGTGCACGACATATGTCGCTTACCTTATTCGGCAAGAAGAGCGTTGCTATTTAGGTCAAAATCGCAAGTTTTACCTATTCGTTTAAAGATAATGTAAAAAATATTAATGTAAAAATTAATAATTTTGTACCAAAAGAACCTTAGAAAACTTACCTAACCCTATTATAACAAGCGCAATTTAATTTAGCCTTATCCAGCCTAAATATATTTTAGATAAGTTTACAGTAATTTAATAATAAACAAACACTATGAAATATATTTTTTCATTAGGTTCAGAATGATTTTTGCGAAATTATTGCATACACAAATTTTCGCTTGCCTTATTCGGCAAGAAGAGCTTTGCTATTTAAACCAAATTCTCAAGTTTTACCTATTCGGCACGATATACACACACGCACACATGCACACACACACACACACACACACACACACACACACACACACACACACACCACGGACCAGACAACATCTCTCCGTGGGTCCTTAGAGAGGGAGCAGAGATGCTGTGTGTGCCATTAACAAAGATCTTCAACACATCCATTTAAACTGGGCAACTCCTTGAGGTATGGAAGATGGCAAATGTAGTCCCAATTTTTAAAAAGGGAGACAGACATGAGGCATTAAACTACAGACCTGTATCATTAACGTGTATAGTATGCAAGGTCATGGAGAAGATCATCAGGAGGAGAGTGGTGGGGCACCTGGAAAGAAACAAGTGTATAATCGACAACCAGCACGGTTTCAGGGAAGGAAAATCCTGTGTCACACAACTACTGAAGTTTTATGACAAGGTGACAGAAGTAAGACAAGAGAGAGAGAGAGGGGTGGATCGACTGCATTTTCTTGGACTGCAAGAAGGACTTCGACACAGCTCCTCACAAGAGGTTACTGCAAAAGCTAGAGGATCAGGCACACATAACAGGAAAGGCACTGCAATGGATCAGAGAATACCTGACAAGGAGGCAACAACGAGTCATGGTATGTGATGAGGTGTCAGAGTGAGCGCCTGTGACAAACGGGGTTCCACAGGGGTCAGTCCTAGGACCTGTGCTGTTTTTGGTATATGTGAATGACATAACGGAAGGGATAGACTCAGAAGTGTCCTTGTTTGCAGATGATGTGAAGTTAATGAGAAGAATCAAATCGGACGAGGATCAGGCAGGACTACAAAGAGACCTGGACAGGCTACAAGCCTGGTGCAGCAACTGGCTCCTTGAGTTTAACCCTGCCAAATGCAAAGTCATGAAGATTGGGGAAGGGCAAAGAAGACAGCAGACACAATATAGTCTAGATGGCCAAAGACTGCAAACCTTACTCAAGGAAAAAGGCTGGGGGTGAGTATAACACCGAGCACATCTCCTGAGGCGCACATCAATCAGATAACTGCTGCAGCATACGGGCGCCTGGCAAACCTACGGATAGCGTTTCGATACCTCAGTAAAGAATCGTTCAAGACTCTGTATACCATTTACGTCAGGCCCATACTGGAGTATACAGCACCAGTTTGGAATCCACACCTGGTCAAGCACGTCAAGAAATTAGAGAAAGTGCAAAGGTTTGCAACAAAACTAGTCCCAGAGCTAAGGGGATTGTCCTACGAAGAAAGGTTGAGGGAAATCGGCCTGACGACACTGGAGGACAGGAGGGTTAGGGGGAGACATGATAACGATATACAAAATACTGCTTGGAATAGACAAGGTGGACAGAGACAGGATGTTCCAGAGAGGGGATACAGAAACCAGTTGGAAGTTGAAGACTCAAATGAGTCAAAGGGATGTTATGAGGTATTTCTTCAGTCATAGAGTAGTCAGGCAGTGGAATAGCCTAGCAAGTGACGTAGTGGAGGGGGGAACCATACATAGTTTTAAGACGAGGTATGATAAAGCTCATGAAGCAGGGAGAGAGAGGACCTAGTAGCGTTCAGTGAAGAGGCGGGGCCAGGAGCTGAGTATCGACCCCTACAACCACAATTAAGTGAGTACAATTAGGTGAGTACACACACACACACACACACACCCACACACACACGCGCGCCGCGCGCGCAAGAAGGCGTTTGACACAGTTCCACACAAGAGATTAGTGCAAAAACTGGAGGACCAAGCAGGGATAACAGGGAAGGCACTACAATGGATCAGGGAATACTTGTCAGGAAGACAGCAGGTGTCAGAGTGGGCACCTGTGACCAGCGGGGTCCCACAGGGTCAGTCCTAGGACCAGTGCTGTTTCTGGTATTTGTGAACGACATGACGAAGGAATAGACTCCGAAGTGTCCCTGTTTGCAGATGACGTGAAGTTGATGAGAAGAATTCATTCGATCGAAGACCAGGAGAACTACAAAGAGATCTGGACAGGCTGCAGACCTGGGCCAGCAATTGGCTCCTGGAGTTCAATCCCACCAAGTGCAAAGTCATGAAGATTGGGAAAGGGCAAAGAAGACCGCAGACGGAGCACGTCTGGGGGGCCAGCGACTGAAACCTCATCAAGGAAAAAGATTTTGGGGGAGTTAACCCGGGCAATCTCCTGAAGAAACCATCCCAAAAATTAACTGCTGCAGCATTGGCGCCTAGCAAAACCTCAGAACAGCATTCCGACATTTTAAATAAAAACGTCAGGACCGTACACGTGTATGTTAGGCCCATATTGGAGTATGCGGAAACCAGTTTGAACCCACACCTGGCCAAGCACGTGAAGAAACAGGAAAGGGGCAAGGTTGCAACAAGCCCTAGGTCAAGCAGAAGAGTATGTCCTACGGGGAAAGGGGTTTAAGAGAAATAAAACCTGACGACACTGGAGGACGGAGAGATAGGAAACATGATAACGACATAAAAATACTAAGGAATTGACAAGTGGACCAAGACAGATTTTCCAGAGATTGGGAAACCACAGTAACGGGGAAACATTTGGGAAGTTGAAGACACAGATGAATCCCGGGGATGTAGGAAGTATTTCTTCACCCACAGAGTAGTCAGGAATGGGAGTAGTCCGAGGCGATTTTGTGGAGGCAGGACCAAATACATAGCTTTAAGAAAGGGGTACGAAAAAGCTCCGGCTCGGGAAAAGTGACCTAGTAGCAAACCAGTGAGAGCGGGGCCAGGAGCTAGGCCCTCGACCCGCAACCTCAGCTAGGTGAGTACAACAGAGAGTACAACACAAAACACACACACACACACACAACACACACACACAAAATATAGATAACAGATAAAATAGATAGAAATTTACGGGCAAGTCTTGCTAGGTAAAATCCTATATAATAGAAAACGAATATATAAAATTAATAAGTGAAATGTTAATCTAAAACGAAAATAAAGATGAAAAATGCAAAAAATAGAAAAAAAATATAGAAAAATTTTTTGGGGGTAAAAAATTTGTGTGAAATGTGACGTCATAAAAAATCCCTTTATGACGTCACGAGCGTATATCATTTGTTTGCCCCTGGGGGCCCTTTGGATCGTTTAATCCTTTATTTAGGGATTTGATGTTCTGGGTCCTTGTGTTGGCACCTTCATGCTACAGCTGCGTTCAGTCAGGCTATTATGCTGAGTTATTGTGCGGTGTGTTGTGGTTGTGTGTGTTGTGGGTTGTGTGTGTGTGTGTTGTGTGTGTGTGTGTGGGGTTTTGGTGTGTGTTACGTAGGACCGAGATTTGTTTCCTGGTCCCGCCCTTAGATACATTTCATCGCTCACTGATTCGGGACTCTTGAAGCGTGTGCCAGTTTACCTCCACCGCTGCTTCAGCTTTCCCCTTTTTTTAAACCAACTATGGCTAAAGAAAACTTCCCTACATCCCTTCGGCTGAATGTATTAGCCTGACTGCAAGCTTTTGGACTTTTCCAGCTTTCCATTGTTTTTTCAGGTATGGACCCCGGGGTACTCAACATATTTCGTTGGTGAGGGCTATGTCTGAGTTGCTAATCTTGCACATGTCATTGGGGACATTGCTTCTATGCATATTTCTGGGGGTGATATGTTCTTTGTTA